TTACGCCAGCCGCGGCGGGATTAAACCTTAATAGGTCAACGAGGTCAACTCCTCCTGTGCAAATTGTGCTTCAGTTCGCACACTTAGGAGCTCCGCGGGTCCCTCAACCAGGTGAATTCTTCCTAATTCGATTTTCCCTCTGATCGTGAATTCGTCCTTTAAGGCGCCACTTCATAATATCTAATCGAACTGACAATATCTAATCGAAGTGGAGCTGCGGAAGGGCGGTCATTTTAATCACCATCCAGACACAATCTCTGAATGTATGATTAGATAGGGATACCAACTCGAGATCTTATACAAAATCGGATACCTGAAAGGTCCTCCTTCGAAGACTCGCATGGCAGTCGCAAGAAGGGAAAGTGAAGAGCCAGCAAGGTGGCAGCCATTTTAGCCATAGATGACAAGGGTAAACGTACTAGTCGTAGGCCACGGTCTCAGTGAAAAATATGATAAAATATAATGGCTGCGGATCCGCCCATCCAGGGTCAGTCCTATCGTTGTTACTTTTTCAAAAATTTTTACGACCCCCTCCCCCAAGGTGGACTTGGTACGACCCCCTTTTCGACCCTCGACCACCATATTCCTCTCTATAGTATTTAATTCTGGTACCACTCAACCCACCAAACTCCGCCCACTTTTTCCTCCAAAAATGCCGTCGAGCGGGGGTATATACGCGCGCTGAAACGGCGAATTTTTCTCCCGTGCGCTCCCAACTCACCTAGCCTACTACTCGTGAAAACTCCACTTTCACCACAAACTCACATGTACTTTCACGCGACTGAAGCGGATACGACCCCCCCCCTCCTATAAACTCAACCAGGTACGACCCCCCCGTTGTTACTAGTAACAATGTAGGGTTGAGCCTGCCCGCATCTCTACTTTGATCAGATATGTGTGTCTTTCCGCAACTCCACCTCGATTAGATAGGGTGCCCCCCGAACTACATTTTCACCCTGATCTCGGTCAGCCTTTTCGAGATTAGCCCTGGGATGTCTGGGCTCTTGTTCGTCTACTAAACTATCGCCTCGCTCGTTTTTTCTCTCGCCTTTATCTGCAGTACCTTTTTGCCTCTCAAGATCTCATGCATGTAGTCTTCACGCCAAAAAAAAGGAGAAATGGCTCTCATTCTTAGTGTTTTCTGCCCAACTCGCATCTTCAGTTTCACTTATAGAGGCAGTACACCAAGCAGCACCTACACCTAAATAAAAGCCGAATGGTCCCTGAAAATAACATTTTGCAATCCGTTCGAAGTGTGACTTATCAGTTCATAGTTAACAAACGCAAAACAATCTCCCAAACAGTAGAACTGCCTGTTGTCTAGCTGAAAATGTCTACCTGTTTGTTCAGATTGGTCACTACAAGGGATATTGGTATGACTTTGATGGACCTCGCCAACATGAGCTTCACTGCGAATCCCATAAAGGAAAAAGATGACGATAAGCAAATGACCAGGGAAGAAGAAGCATGTATGTCAGTATCCCCCTTCAGGTCATGGATAGCATGCATCGCTGCGTGTTTAGTGGCTGGAGCTTCCCTTTTGCGGCATATTCATTCAAACTGGCGATCGTGCGATGATGCTGGCATTCCTCCACAGCTGTGCCTTTGCATGGATAAGAAGATCCTGCAGTCAGATGACTACACAAAGTAGGTTTTTGTTTGCCTTATCTGCCAATTAGTGAAGGGTTCCGATTACAAGATCCATCAAAATATCATGAGATACAAAATACCACTACGTTTTACGTTCACTGTCGTGATTCGGGAACAATTCGTCCTGTGGGAAATTCATCATGTAGGAAGTGTCTGGTTCCCGGGTCTTTCCCGGGACCAGACAACTTCCCACATGTCCCAGTTCCGTACCCCGCGGCCCGCGAGTTCCTAACCCAGAGAAGGGGTTACTGGTCAACGACGGCTGTGGAAGCCAGGCCTGCCATTGACCACTTCGCCCACCCAAGGGCCTAGACTCGCTAGCCTCTAATACAACTTCACAGCAGAAGAGAGGCTCAAGAATGAACCTATTGCTCCTTAATCGGGTCCCAGCGCTGTTGCTCCCCCAGGGTATCTGTCAGTAGGCCCATTGCACGGCGAAAAGTCATATTTAGGACCTACAGTACACATTCTATAACTTGACGCGAAATCACTACCGTATGCGCTGCGACTCCACCGCTGACTCTGACTTTTCGCTCTGCGAGGGGCCTCCTTACGGGTACCCGCTCACCCAAGCTGGCATTCTACACAACACAGCACTAGTTGGGCTCACATTTATTGGCGAAAACTTCATAAACGTCTTAAAAAGTTGAACTACCTGCCGAGCTTAAGGATGCGACGCCAAAGCTCATGTAGTCGTCGACTACGGCAGTGAGCATCCAAGCGTGAACGGGGCTGCGCCGGCTGCTCGAAGACTACCTGCAGCCGATGAAATCCCTGGGCATAGCGGGACACCAACTTACCAGTGCCTTATGCATACGGAACAGCATGCCCAACTATGCTGCCGAGTACACATGGCTGAGTCCTTCGCCTCCTTCGCGCTTGCACACCACCTCTGTTGGTGGGGCAAAGTGTACCGACTGAAAGGCGACTAAGTAGTCCGTGCTGGGCTCTGGAGCCTCCCTATTGCCAAACCTTCCCATGATAAACTGTTTTTCCCGACACCAATCGGCCAAAGGGAACCGAGTGTAGGCTGACTGAGTCCTACCGGAGTCGACGACGTTGGCTTACACCGTTAGTAAGCAGTCCACATTATTCCTCTGCTTAAGTGAATATGGCGCAGTTCATTCCTTCAAGTATCTTATCTCCCACAGCAAGCATATTCAGTGGGAGCACCGACCCATCGATATCAATGGTTCTTTATTTTTCATTAAAGACACTGAAATGGATATACGGTTTTTCGCAAAAGACGAACAAGTGTCATCATAAAGTGCTACAAGTCTTCAGATGGGTTGGCAAGGCCTCATACCTATTATCAAAGCTTGACTATTCAGCGATACTGAAGAATATGAGCTGATGTTCGAGTATGTGAAAGCGGAAATCCTCCTCAACGATTGTGTGGAAAAAGTGGAGCAAACTCCAGCACTTCGTAAAGTTGTCGTCTTTTCACTCAACGCGATGGTACAGCACGGAGTCAGACAGGAGCAAGAGTAAGCTTTGAAAAAAGTGCTGCTCTATTTACTTAAAGGGTAAGGATCGAATCGGTGTGTTATTTTATTCAAAACTTGGACAAGAAGTGTGATGAGGAGTGAGAGTGGGGAAAAAAAGCAAAAAGCGCTATAGAAAGACTTGAAAGTGTCCTTGTAGGGTTGGCCGTGATATAACGGAGAGACACGGTGCTGCGAAGGAAGGGAAAACGCGAAAGAGTGCGCCGTTCGCGAGGGCGCAAATGCCACGCATGCCGCAAATGATAGAGTGGCAGCATCGGCAGCGTACAAGGCAAGGTCTTGCGCTGTTGTCGCGCACTACTTTGATGTATGGAATCGCGGACTTAGGAAACCCCCCCCCCACCCCTTAGCTTTACTCTAGGAAGGGCTATCCCTCCGTAGTGGCCAACCCCTGCTTTCAAAGGCACACCACCCACTATTGAATCGTGGTGCGGCTATTGCACAACGTAATAATGAATATTACTACAAGGTGGGGCCGCCAGTAAAGAAAAAGTGAAAAATCTAATTGCTTTCGTCTCGGCGAGATTGTATTAGATACTCATAGGTGGCGATGCATAAAACTTGCCTCTGTCCTAAACATTCCCTCCCGCAACACTGGCACGGGATGTGAGGTCCTGCATTCGCCAAATTTTTTAAAAGAGCTGATCATACTGGAAGGTACTCAACAGAGCCGGTTATAGATGAGTTTCTTTGTCAAGCAAGATGTATACTCAACTTGAACATTGTGGGAGGAATCTCAAAACATTTTACAAAATCCTGAATATCGCTTTTTCAATAGGCGAGTTTTTGTTATCGCAAGGTGCGTGCGTCCTATAGTCTGAAATGAAAGGGACGCAAAAAAGAAGATTTCTGAAAACCGATTAAGTTAAAGGACGAATTCACGATGAAAAAGCAACCCATTTCAAATTAACCTAGGGATGGTGAGTGGTACACGAAAGAAGGAAGAACCATGAGAAACGGCCCAGAACCCGAGAAATGGTACCCCTTCCTTGCCCGTTGATTCGAGCATTGATGCGACTCTCATCGCTGTGCCCTCTTCAACACTACGCTCTCTCAGCTATCTAATCACTCGCCACGTATTGAACTACGGCGAGTGATCAGATGATCGGTGGGCGGAGATCGCCGGACCCGCCAGCTTTGAGGCATGATAGGTCGCCGAGGTCAAATTTTTCCATGCGAATTGCGCGTCAGTTCGCACCCTCAGGAGGTCCGTGGGTCCCTCAACTAGGTCAGTTTCCCTTTCTTCGACCTTCATTCTAATCGTGAATTCCTCCTTTAAGTATGTAGTGAGAGGGCGAAACGCAAAGGGAGATTTTTGAGGCAAGAAGATAAGAGTGTTTTGGGAGCACGTCACATTATTTCGTTTTCTGCTCCGGAGTGTGATTATTGGTGCGCAGTTCTTACTTCCTTTCATAAAGTCTCTTTATCTCCCACTCTCAGCGCAACCATATTCTCAGTGGGAGTTACGACCCTGATCGATATCATATGGTTCTTGACTTTCATTCATTAAGACACGGAAATGAATTACGGTTTTTTTTCGCCAAATTAGTTACGAACAAGTGTCATCTACAGACTGTGCTACAAATCTACATGCATGGGGTTGCGTTAAGGCCCTCATAACCTGCTATCTTACAAACTTGGACTAATCAGCGATACTGAAGAAGATGGGCTGAATGTTCGAGTATGTGAAAGCGGAAATCCTCCTCAACGATGTGTGTGGAAAAAGTGGAGCAAACTCCAGCACTTCGTAAAGTTGTCGTCTTTTCACTCAACGCGATGGTACAGCACGGAGTCAGACAGGAGCAAGAGTAAGCTTTGAAAAAGGTGCTGCTCTATTTACTTAAAGGGTAAGGATCAAATCGGTGTGTTATTTTATTTAAAACTTGGGCAAGAAGTGTGATGAGAAACGAGAGTGGGGAGAAAAAGCAAAAAGCGCTACAGAAATACTGATAGTGTCCTTGTAGGGTTGGCCGTGATATAACGGAAAGACATGGTGCTGCGAAGGAAAGGAAAACACGAACAAGAAAAAAAGAAAACGCGTTTTCGAGCCACGTCATTTGCCGGCATGAAATAGGATTAGTTGGCGCTAGCATCCGCCATGGTTACAATCGGTCAAGCGTCTTGCTTGCTCTGTTGTTGTTCGCGCACTTTGTGTAGTCATTGCATTCTTGAACTTGAACCCTTTGTGTTTAGGGAGGCGGCTACCTTTTCCTATTTTCCAGAACCCTTTAGCTTCAAATTGGCTTACACCACTATTGAACTTGGCTGCCGTCTTTGTTCCTACGAATTTGTGGATTAGTATTATACGAAGTCGGCCGTCCGCCTATGCTAAAAAAAAGGAATAATATCTAGTTGCCTTTCTGTTTCGCGAGTCTTGGTGTCTTTAAATACTCATTCGGGTGGTGATCGCATAAGTACTGTCCTCTTTTTCCTAATATATTTCTGTTCCCACAAAACTTCGGCACGGGATGAGGTGTAAACAAACTCCTGGAGGTCCTGCAATTCGCCATATTTTCTATTATTTAAAGACTGGATTTCATTACCGAAAAGGCTACTAAACAGAGTTTCCGGTCATAGAGTGAAGAGTTCCGGTAGCAAGTGCTCTCTTTAGAAGGTTGTGTGGAGGAATTTCCGCAAATATTTTTACAAAATCTGCTGGAATCGCTTTTCAAATAGGCGCGCATCGCAGGGCGCGTTTTGTCTGAAATGAAAGGGACCTGCAAAAAAGAATCTGTTGAAAACGGTTGAGTTGAGGGCTTCTTCACGGTATGCAGTGAGAGGGCGAGCGCAAAGGGGAGTGTGTGAGGCAAGAAGCGTGAGTTAGCTGCCAGTCAATCACCGCTGCAGACGGTGAAATTGAAGCTCGATTACGGTGTGTAGCGGTTTCAACCTAGGCAATTTAGATTAAGGCATGGTCCCTCAGGAAGAAGTCCTGGTGTCATTCTTTCAATTGGTAGGTTATACTTTTAGAGGAGCAAATCAAAAAATAAAAATAGATGTCGGACGCTCACATGCGTTCGGACACTGCTGGTATATCTTTTCAAACAAGAAAATTGGTCACTCGGCTTCTGCCTGAGTTTGTTTGCTCTTTCTGAAGTCTATTGGTTTTTTGCTTTCGATTGGTATCTTTTGTGGAAATGTGTAGATTTCAAGGTGTATTAGCAGAGTTAGGTAGGGTGGATGATTAGGCGAGTGACTTGTGTATTAAGTTTTAATACATATAAGTAGCTGCCTGTATTTAACTGTTTTAAATACATATAAAGTAACTACAAGGGTGTGCAAAATAATACGTAGGGGTGAGTAGCATCTTCCGTAGCGATATTCACAATCCAACCAGGTCGTGTTTTGACCCGGAGTGCTATTCTTTGTACTCAAAAACTATTTTTTTCTGAGCTGTAATTCCACCTGTTTTTTTTTTTTTTTCGTTCCTTTCTCGGTATTTTAACAGTTCATTCATACAGTTTATAAAGTGCTTGAAAACTCCAGATACGAAGTTATTACGTTATGCATCAACGTTGAACTTTATAAGCATTCATGACCTGTTTCAGTTGGCATCGCGCGCGAAGTTCCTATCGTGACTTGGGAATGAAGTATTTGGAGATCGCTGTAAGAGTCTTCCCATTTCGCAAAGGCACCGACAAATTTCAGGTTGGTGGTTTTAAGCCTTGCCTTGCTGCTAAGCCAAATTCAAGCGCTTCATTCAAAATTAAGAAACGATTCACTGCTCGAATGTTGTTCCGCAGTTTCACCGCACCGCATTGAGTTTAAGGTCTCTGATTACCTGTTGGAAGTCCAACAATCAGAGCGATCAACCATGATTGTTTCACTTATGAGGTAAGCAAGTACTGCGAGATGTGCCACTACAATCGTCTCTACAGTTAACAGCTACACCAACGATTGAACTCGTACCTTCATCACAGCGTTAATAGCCAACAGTGCCTAACTAGCGGTTACTTACCTTTCAACACTTTAATTGGTGTTTGAACGATTTGCATCTAACCAAGTTTCAAGACGATAAGAAGGTTGTGACATGAACAAAAAACTTTTCACCTTATAGCCGCCGTGAAAGGGAGCTGAAGTCGATAGTGGGCGTCTGTTTTTGTCGGAATGCCATTCTGACCTTCGGTTAAGTCCCTGCATGGCAGCTGTGGAGATCCGCTTGTATGATTTGGCTGTTCGAAAACATCTTTGTGACCGATTTGGGTGTGACTTACTTAGGACTCCTGAACTCGATCCAGGACCACAGCAAAATGATCCACAGCCAATCGCGCGTTTCTTCGCGGCTGCCATGAGGGGCTTACGATCGGTGGCCGGCAAGCCGACTTTGGAGGCCGGAGGTAATAACCCTGCTGGGACTATTGCTTTAAGACTTCTCGTAAATCACAATGCTGTACTGCCAAGTGTTAGAGGATCTTCTAGTGTTTGAAACTCAGCAGTTTGAATTCACTTTGTTTTTTCTTGCCATGAATTTACTACTACCTACATTATTTTCGGTCTGACATAGAAGGTCTTTCACAGTGTGGAGCACTTTCCGAAACGGTTTCTGAATGCAGTGGGGCTTTCAAGTAGGCTGCAAAACAGAGCTTCATTTTTGCTGAGCGGCCCCGAAGGCCAAAATGTGATCGAACAATTGCTCCCAGTAGGTGAATTTTTATCGAATTTCAACAAAAATCTAATTGTAAGGGTTACTGATGGGTCTGGAAATGAATATGACACTTACTGTTGACGCTGGCGCTATTTGAAGGAAATCGGAGAGCTCCAACCTAAATGCAAAAATTTTGTCATCACGGAGGAATTGATCCTTGGACCATTTCCTCACCACTTTTTGGCCTTCACGGGGCCGCTGAGCGGGAATGAACCTCGGTTTTGTAACCCACTAATGATACGGAGGGAACCGTTTCAAAAAGTGCTCCACACCCCGAAAAATCTCCCTGAGTGCCATATCCGTACCTATGCTTTTAGAATGCCACATGAGCCCTGCTGACTGAGCCCTGCTGACTGAATTTGCTAGATTGCCCATAACTTCTGACATTTTGATGTTTTCTATATCCTTTGCATACATTCTTTTGTATTATACATGACAATAATCACCTATTAACATTGTCTACAAAATACTGCCAGCTTTTGAAGATCTGAACGATATCCCTTTTGATGAGCTTCTCAGATTTTCGATAAAGTATTAAGCCAATAAAGTTGCATCACTCATTAGCAAAATTTCAAGCCTTCCACGAAGGCAAGCAAGATCCTACGAGACGAGTTCCTATGCCAAAACATTTCTGGAGTGTCATCGATGAGCGAAAACAAGCATAACTTTCCATCAACGTTCGAAATATGGAGCAATTCATGCCATGACTCCTGTGTAGAACCCCCATCACCGTGTGCTTCACAAAACGTCTGTTGCGGGTGACTAGAGACTTAGGGTTATGTTGGACCCTTTTAATCACCTCGCGGTGGTTCAGTGGATTTATATGAGGAGGAAAACTATGTACAGAGAGAAGAGTTGAACGCCTTTATTGTATGGCTGCAAGAGAAGGTATATGTTGTAGTATCTGTTCAAGGCTTATACAGTATGGGCACGCCCCCCCCCGCCAGACGTGAGGTCGTGAGGGAGTCATCGCCAGCGATGCGCAGGCGATGACAACGTCGCTATGATCCATGTTAACAGTGCACTGCTGTCTCGAAAGTTCCCAACCTCCGCCCAACATCTTGTTTGGCCTGACAAAATCTTCTAATATCGCCCTGCAGAAGGCTGCTGTGAAGTTAATCGATAGCTCAGAGAGTGCTATTCAATCTTCACTAAAGAAAAATCTGGTTAAGGCTTTCGAGCGTATCTTATTCATTGTGCCTATATGGATGCCCGACTTTCTGATTGTGCTTTCTCACATGAAATGTTTCCAGGGCCGATGAGAGACAGGGGAAGCATGTTTACCTTCATCCTTTGCCTTTGAATTTCCTTCCTTGGAGTTCTTTCGCTAACACGAGGTCGGGGGTTATCCCCAGTGGATAGACTGAGTCCTTACACTTTTAGTTGATTGGAAATTGACTTGATCTCAGCTATCAGCGGGCTGACTTATTGTTAGCATCAGGAAGTGTTGCTAATGCTTCTGGTCTTCCATTAACAACTCTGAGCATCTTTTCTTGGATGAGATGGAATTGGGTTTCTGGAATGCCATCTCGTTGAGGGTAAGCCACTACCATCTATAAATCTGGTTAGCATACCAGGAGGTTATGTCCGCGTTACCTGTACACTTGAGGCCAGTCGGTTTCAAGGCGGCAACTCAATGTAACGAATGTGGGTTTTCGGAGCGAATGCGCACAGGCACAACTTTCCGTTCTGAACTTCATATTTTCAAAACTCAATCGCGGTGTCGTGTGGGAATGACCAGGGGTCAGTTTTTGTCCTCCCCTCGGATCGGATCAAGGAAATCTATCATTAATGGTTGGGCTCCCAGCAATCCTTATCAAACAAGGAGCATTCGACAAAGAAGAGTTCGGCTCAGCACAAGTGTGGTTGTGTCTAGAGTGTAATTCTGTCGCGACAACCTGCTCCAACCTTTTTCACTTCTGCGTTTCGAGTCGATGGGGTCGGCTTACCACGAGTTCGGATCTGCAACAGCATCTAGCGGGGACTGAGATGTGTGAAGCATGACAACCCGAATGAAAATGTGTTTATAACAGGGTCGTTATCGTAGATGCCAAGGTAATACATAAGCTTTGTAACTTCGAAAATCTTCTAGAAATTTCCATGAAGATCAAAGTGAAGTAAATGGGAATTCATCGGCCAACCTGATAGATAGCAGTTCAAAGAGTAGATATTTGTATTAAGATAATTAATTTTATGGTTTCTATCAAATGGAGATAGTTCATGAGTCAAAATTCCTCACCTCTTTGTATTCATTTGGAAGCAGAAGACCATTCAGAGAGTTTTATACCGCACAGTCAGCATAAAAATGTGTTATGAGAACGACGTCAGTATGGTGAACCGTAATCACGTCGCGCTGGAGCAGGCTGTCGCGTTGGATCAGAGTATCGGCACAACATCCTTCAGAGCGGATTCAACCAAGAGCAACTCATGATTTACTCGGCTCTGATTCCCAGCGAGCCAATCCAACAAAAAGAATCGTTTTGAAAAATAAAGGTAGTGTTATGCTGCACCGAGGTCCTTGTTGATCTGTATGTTCATATTCTTTGGAGCTCAAAACTTTATTGCCAAAAATAACACGGCTGGCCAAGCAAGAACAGGATGAGTTCCTCCATTTTCCCAAAATATACTGCTAATTTACTAAATAAGAAATGTAAGGTAAAAACGTGCTAAGCTCCGAAATATCGCCGCATTCGGAAACATCCATTGGCATTGCCTTTTTGGGGATTTTTTGTGTTATTTTTTTGCCAATAAATTTTTGGAGCTTAAAAGTGTACAAACGTTCAGGTGCAAGAGTTAAGCTACAAAATCTTCAAATTATTTTTTATAGAAAAAGATCCGAGGATGACATGACATAGCTAGGTAGATGTTCGAAGAAAGTGGAAGCGTCGAGCTCCTTTGGAGTAAATTATCACTCGTGATCAGAGGAAGAACCCTGTGCATTAATGATAGTACTATCGTTCGTAAGCAGTGATGGATAAAGATTCGTTTTCACGTCAATCTCTCTGGAAAATTTTTTAATATAGTTCAGAGGAGATTTTCGACATCTCTGATGGCAGACGTTTGCTTCACCCAAAGAAAAGATCAAAACTCAGAAAAAAAATCCCGCAGTGTTCATGGAGCTGTCCTGCCCTTTCGTTTTTGTTGGGATTTAGCCACCACCCAGAAACATCAGAGCATATCAACAAGTGGGAGGATTACCTATTCAGACGGATATGCTATGCTTTTGCAAGCAACGTTGTCGAAAAGGCTGGGCTACTCGTAATTTCGCATGACCCTCCACAGCACACTAGAAGGGATATTCCAAACCGTGATGCGGTGTATTTTTATATTAGAACATTTCCAAAATGTTCCACTTACTATTTTACGAGGCAGCGACATTGGTGAAGTCGTGAGACAGCGACATTGGTGAAGTCATGGAAATTATAAAACGGATTATAAGCTTGTTCACATAATTATTTACAGTTTGTCTTCCTTACCCAGGACTTCTTAACTGCAGACCTAGTAGTAGTACAGACGTAATGAGAAATGAATAAGACGTCTGATGAATGATTTCCAGGATACCACTAGTTCATGTAGCTGCACCGTTTAAAAATTCATGCACTCTCAATATATAATATAATTAAAGGCGATTTTACCATGAACAGGCAGCTTATTGGAAATCAAGTTAGAGATGGTCAGTGATGCACGAAAGAAGAGAAAACCGAGAAAATGGCCTAGAACCCGAGAAATGAGAACCTTCCTTGCCCGTTGATTTGCGCACTTGATGCGACTCTCATCGGTGCTGCCCTCTTCAACGCTACCGCTCTGTCTGCTAAATATTAGCAAGAGGCTCAGACACAAGACGACGCGAGAAGGGACGCGCCAATAGCTTCCCAACTGTGCCCCGGAGATGGCCATGCTAGATCACCGAAAAGGTACCATGTCCTTTGGTGCGGATTGCCTGACCAC